GAAACTACGTAACTTAATTAAAGGCGTTCCTTAAAAAAAATTACACTCTGTATATTAGGAAATTTGTTATTAATATTGATTATGCATTTAATATCTAGATAACAATACTTTTTATGGAATACAGGGTGATAGACACATCTAATTCGTTTTTGATGCAGCAATAATTAAAGAAATATTCCTTTTTCAGAATCACTCTATATTTTTCAGTTCGATCCCTCAAAATGTACAAACTATTTGTTTTTGTTATTAGCTTTAAGCAATTAATGACTTCATATAATTTCATATTTTTAGTATGATCCGTTTTTGAGATTCCAATGTATATAATAAACCATTAAATATCAGACAATTCAGGATATTCGCACACTGGAATGTTTTATTTGCTGAAACATTATCGGGGGTAATACCACAAGAACTCAGATTTAGTCGGATATTTTTTGTGGTTATTTTCGAATAACATTCATTGGCAATTGCCTAATTACAATTGTCAAACTGATGCGACGCGCAACGCTTGATAAACCAACAATAAATGCCCAGCGTTGCTACGGTAACGTAATTTATCCGATAAGGTTTGTTTTGGTTCACGTTCTAGAATTGTTCCAGAACCATGCGCAGAACAATTGCGCAATGGTCGTTAATTCTGAACAGTTCTGTAACCATTCCATTGTATTCGAAACCAAAACACTGCCAGAACAGTTGAATGTCAAAAAGTAATTTATATATAAAAAAGAAGAGATAACACAGGGTCAGAGTCTAGGTAAGAAAGAGGCCACATAATATTGTAAAACGTAGATAAATTAAATAATTTATTCGTAAAAAATCAACATCAACTAATCAACTGCTCCATTCTCATTAGTCATTCGAAAATTCCTTGTAAAAATTCCAACACAAAACATGGCCAGCATCTCAAAAACAAAATTACTTGCAAAAAAGCGCAAGCGCAAACATATCAATTCTGAAACAGTTCTTTCTTTAGGCCAGAACCGACGTTATTGTTCGAGAATGGTTATGGAACCATTCCCAAGAAAAACCAAAACACAGAACTTACGGGTTCGGAACAGTTCTGGCGAAACCAAAACAGCAAATATCTACTGCGCAAGCTCCAGAGATTCTGGAATAGTTCTAGAACAGTTACGAAAATTAACCAAAACAAAGCTATATGTTTAACCACTTGCATTTCTGTTTCTTCCTATTGAGCCGATAGTAAACTACGATTTTTGTACTTACAAATGGAAATTATTATACTTACATATATGGATATGTCTGATATTTAATATGGTTCACTATATATTGGAATCTCAAAAACGGATCATACTAAAATTATGAAATTATATGAGGTTATTAATTGCTTAAAGCTAATAACAAAAATAAATAGTTCGTACATTTTGACGGATCGAATTGAAAAATATAGGGTGATTCTGAAAATGAAATATTTCTTTAATTATTGCTACATCAAAAACGAGTTAGATGTGTCTATCACCCTGAATTCCATAAAAAGTATTGTTTTCTAGGTATTAAATACATCATCAATATTAATAACAAATTCCTTAATATACAGAGTTTTTTAAGAAACGCCTTTCTGTGGAATGAATTAACAATCACCCTGTATACATATAATGTAAAATAGGTTTATATAATATCAGAACAGTAAACATTATGTAAGTTTTTATTTTTGACCATATTATTCATTCCATATCAGAATCTCTCAGAATTTCTAAAATTCCCCTTGATGTAACTGAGTACCACCCTGTATATGTTTACATTTTGAACTATTTATGTGTACATTTGCGTTAGACTAGGACATATTGATGCTACAATCAAGTAAAAATGCTTTTTTTTTCGTTTTAATTAAGTTACGTAGTTTCAAGAAATACGATTTCTCGACTTTAACACCCTGTATTTTAAAAACTAGTCATAGGATTGAATTGAATTGGTCAACAAGTCGAGCACAACATCATATTCAAAATTTATTACATTTGACGGAACGCCACTTTGCCATTAGAAAAGGGCGGGGTCCTTTGGAAGAACTACGATGGGAGAGCTTAGAACATTTAGGGGTCTATTCTCACGATTGAAAATTCCAACGTTTTCGCGAAGATCTTGGCAACCTGCGATTAACTACCTCATCCAAAATGTTTGTTCTTTGAGGAGACGTGAAAAAAAAAGAGCACAAACCAGATAAATTAGAAAAAAATATTTAACCTGCTTATTGACAGAACATGCCCTTGTAATAACTAAATTCATCTGGTGTGCATAGCAATGAACGTAATTTGTAAGAGTATATATTTGTTTAATCATTTTTTGCACACCATTTAATCCACCACTCATTACAGACGCGCCGTCATAGCTTTGAGCAATTAATTTATTTGGACGATGTTTTAATAATGGATGTAAAACATTTAAAATGCATTTAGCGATTGATTTGGCGTCGTGTCCATCGAGCATGTAAAACCTCCGAAATCTCTCAACTGGTCAACCTTTACACAAATATCTAAAATCTATACCTAATTAAAATTCACAAGCAACGTCCGTTGTTTCATCGGTAATCACTGCAACAAAAGGAGAATTTTCTATTTCTTTCCTAACTTCTTCGTGATAAACATCTAACATGCAATCAATAAGTTAATTTTGGGTTGTTTTTGAGGTACCTTTGAAAGCTTTTGAATTTTGAATATGAACCTTTGAGTCGTTGTCTAATTCGGCGCTAAAATTCACCAGCTTCTTAAATATGCCTCTATTTTCCGAATTATCTTTCTCATCGTGACCCCTTAAAGCTAACTGAAAAGCTCCACAAAACCTTATGCAATTTATAATTTGATTTAAAACAAATCGATTCTTATCCACTTGTTGATTATGTTTAATTAGAGCATCACGACAAGCCGAATTTAACTAGGTTTTTGTATTTAACTTACCAAGCATGGAAAGGCTAAAAACGTTATTCATGTGCACTTTAAAGTTTTCATGGGATCTCATTTTATCCCATATATGGACAAGATCGTCACCTCCAAACAAAACACATACTAAACAAAACAGTTTTTTAGTTTCTTCGCAACCACACAACCAATTGTTTTTATGATAAATAGTTTTATTAAATTTACGACACCGTGATTTTTGCCCACTTCCACTTTGTTTTTCAATTTTTAAATCGGGAATTGGCTGGCTTTATTCTTTAATTTGTAGTTTTTCTTCTAGCGAAAAACCACTAAGAGAGTTTTTTAAGACGCCAATTTTATTTGTTGTCACAATAAATTAAAAACTAGAAAATAAGATATTTAAGCAAGTTTATTGAAAACAAAAAGACACATAGGTATTAAAGTCACTTACACTTCGTAACGTAATGAAAAACTTAAAAGAGCGTAAAGAAATTCGGTTAATTCAGTCAACAATCGACATTATCGAGAAACCGCGATTATCCGAACCGCTATCGGCGCTATGCCTGGCACGAACATTCCTTGATTTTATCATTTAAATACATGTAAAATGTCCCCATCTCGGTTGCTTACATAGGCTGCTGGTAAACTCTTTCTCTATCTCCTAGTACCAGCTGAGAAATGACTCCGGTTTCGGCAAGAGCTTGGAGATTTATGCAGCGCGAGGTTGCCACATTTCAAATAATTTTTGAATATAAAAAGAAATGCATGAAATAAAAACGTTTTAAAAATAAAAAAATATATTTTTGCATCAAAAATAAGGTAGTGCCATGGCACAGTGGTACTACGTTTTGAGCCGCCACTGCATCGAGTTCCCTCTCATTGAACATTTGTAACAGTTATTAATTATTTGCGAGAATAAGGCACATTCCCTAAAGCAAAGAACGAAATGTAGATCATGCGCAGAAAATTGAACAAAATGAGATTAAGGGTGCAGTATAAGTACTAAAGGATTATGTTCGACTCGATTTAGTTTAAATCTATGCAAGTTTTGCCCAAAAAGCTTAATAAAAAAATTAACGAAAATGTGATAAAAATGTCACATACACATTTTTGCTTGTCTATCTATGTACTTTAAAAATCTCTTATTACATTATTATTATTGTATACCGGGTGTTCAAATTAATGTGTTACAGCTAAATACCGCCTTTTATAAATAAAACGTTTCAGACGAAAGTTTTATGGTTTTGTGGGGAAAAAATTTTGGATAAAATCGTTTTTTATAGCTAACCATAATATGGGCAACTTTTTTTCGCCAAGAAAAATTTTTAAGTAGCTGTTACTCAAAAAGTAAAAGACCAATAAAAAAAATATTTTCATCGAAAGTTTCTTATTTTTTTATGTACTTTAAGAATATGTATAAAAAAAATGGGATTCCCATTTAAAAAAACTAAGTCCACCTCAATATGGTTCAATATGGCTCAATATTATGGTCAGCTATAAAAAAATGAAGTTAGCCAAAATGTTTCCCCCAAAAACCTATAAAACTTTTGTCTAAAACTTTTCTCTAAAATGCATATTTTCGGCGGTATTTAACTGTAACACTTTAATTTGAACACCCGGTATAAGCACTGAAGAAGGCGTTATGCCTAAAGCGCTTTGAATTTTAATAAAACAATTTTGATCGAAATACAATGTTTGTCTGCTATTAATTTCTATTTTTCAAATAAATGTTTTTGTGAAAATCTACCAAGTTTTGGTTTTACTCATTTTAACAATATGGATTTTCATAAAGTAAAGGCCTAAACAATTAGGTATTTATAATTGTTTATAAAGCACTTTTCAATGCGTTAGTAGACGAAGCAACATAAAGAAGAATATGAGTAAGAAAGTGGATGAATTCCAAAGCTGTCACTCTAGCCTGTCAGCTATTGGAACTGAAGTCTCAAGGATAGATAAAACTAAAAATGCTCATCTGTCCTGTTTACTGGGTTAATCTAAATTAGCCTTTAACTTAGTTAATATCCTCCATTCCACAAAAATTCCAACAAAACATTGCATCAATTTACTGTTCTCGCAACTTTATTTTACGTAATAATTAACTGAAAACAACACCTATCCTACAGATCAATATTAAAACATAGTGAACTCTTCTTCGTACAACATGTGCTTGCTTACGGTAAGCGGTAATTCTTCGTAGCTGTCAAAGTTTGAGGTATCTTGAACGGACACTATGGATGGTTTGAAGGGAGCATCTATCATTCGGTTGAATATAGCCAAGAAATCCATTTCTTTGAACCATTTGTGACTTTTTATATCCATTGTTCCGTTTTTTAAATTGCCGTATCTGTAAAACAAACAATGTTAAAATATGAAATATAATCCCAATTTACGTTGTAAACTAGAATTTAGACACATTAATATTTGTAAACGTATTTTTAAAGTGACTTCTTCTTTTTGATCAATCAAGACTACTATTAATTGAGAGGAACATAGAACCTTTTCTTCGAAGAAAATAGTAAAGCTTTAAATATGATAAATTAAACGTTTTAGTTTACAGTATTTGGGCGTACACATTCAGTTAAAAAGAGTCTCACCAAATTTCAACATTAGCCGAAAATATATACAGAGTGTGCAACGTGCATTTTAGCAGCTCAAATTACTAGATTTTGTATTCATTTTACCTAAATAAATGGAAAATAATAAAATGTTATTTATTGATAATATTAGCTTTTAAAACTATTATTTGTAGTAAACTATCTGTATGTATTGGTAACTTACGGATGTCATTATTTAATTCATCTTATCAATAAACAGAATTTTATTGTGCATTAGGTAGGTTACATTTTTGGTGCCCAACGAGAGGCATTTAAAATAAAATATGGCGGATTTAAATAAGATAATGAGTAAGTAAATCAGGTATATGATGAATTTAATTCTCAGTTTAATTTCACGTTAATAGAATTAAGTATATGTTTATGCATTTACCATTTATTGTAAGAACTGAATATTGTACCAATTTGGTTTATTGATTTACATTTTTGACAGTTGTACCTTTTTATACCAATTGTTTTCGCGCTTGCTTGATTTAAGACTTATCTTGAGGTATGAACGAGATTTCCTATAATTTAATAGAAGTTAATTAATTGTGTGTTATAGTTGAAATTTTGTACAATATAGGTACTGAATATTTAGGAATTTGTATTTAAATCGAGTATAATGAGTATTAATTGTTATTGTTATTAAGATGGGTAAAATGTTTATTAACCGGTTGGAAAAAGAGGAATTTGAGTGGGAATTTCGGATTAGAGGTATCAATGCTGGCACCTCGGAGGAGATGCAATTCCAACGTTGGCTATAGAAAACTGGTGATCCTTTTAAATATCCTAATTACCCCTTTAAGTGTGCTGAGGATGAGGCTATTCTTGTCAGGAAGTGTACGGAGTTAGACGCTTGTTAAGTAGTTATAGTGGTAGTGCCAATGTTAACGAAACACAGAAATTGCAGAGTATTGGAATAAGTTTAACCAAATGGATACTGCTAGAGATATGCACTAGAAGGTAAGAAAACGGAAAACTAAGTTGATTAGTCTCCATGATGAATTTCAGATGAAATCGCTGGTGTGCAGAATATTGCTACTTAATCTCTTATTGTTAGTGTTTGACAGGCTTCTACTTTGCAGGATAATGTGTATTTCAGAAACTAATATTTCACATATTAACATGTCTTATAGCCTAAATTCAAAAATTGTACCGCACATAAATGGGGTTTAGAAAAATTTTTTGGGTCACCTAGCTCTTTTTCCATCACAGCTTTTCTTGAACGAGTGAAAGAACTACGTATTGCTCGTCATGTTTCATCTGAAGTACTGTTAGCTACTGGTGTTGATTTATTTTCAGACAAGGCTTATCAATTCTACAAGGATGTCAGGTTTGGTGCTCACACTTGGGGTGAATTAAAGGATGAGTTCAAAAGATAGTATTTGACTGCACTTTATACTGATGATTTGTTTGATGATCTCAGAAAGAGGATGCAATATAAGTCTGTCTATAGATGTTTACCTGTCAGTTATGTATAGCTATTTCAGTAGATTAGAATGCATTGTTCCAGAAAATGCCAAGATGTTAAATATCATAAAAATTGACACCCATTTTATGAGATATATTGAAAGATCCACTTAATAGTACTGTAAAGGAGTTGAGACAGGTATGTCGCCATATAGAGGATACAGGCGATGGTATAAATAGTTATGTTAAGCCTAATAATAGGAGAGGTAATGTTTTGGAAAAGATTTGGCTTTCGTCGAGGTTGACACAACGCAGCAAGTAGATCGTTTGGATGTAGACAGTTTGTCGATAAGTAAAGAGTCATCGGTTGTGTCTTATCGTTGTAGGAAACCTAAAAATCAAGTAATTGGTTGTATTATTCCCAAGCAGTTGAAATGTTCTAATATCCGCGTGAGGGTTATACAATGAGGACTTGTCCGAGGTGTAACCAGGTGAACGACGTCAGGTGCCCATACCTGGTTGAAAGAGTAGTACTGTAAAACGTTCGACTAAATTTCAACTTATTTTAGATAGTCTTTTGGATCATGGTAGGAATGATGAAAGACTCTACCTTAAGCTAAACGTATTTGGAATTATGCAATTAGGCCTTTTGGATTTAGGTTCGTCAAGGATAATAATTGTAGGTAGTACCGGATGGAAACTTTTACAAACTTTTGGTTTAGACGTAGAAACAACAATGAAAACTAGTTGTCGGGTTGCGAATAGATGGATCTGTAAATATATTGGTGATTGTTTGGTTCCATTTCTCTTCGAGATCAAATAAAGAATGAGCCTATTTTAGTAGTGTTAGATGTTCAACATCTTCTTATTTTGGGTGCTAATTTTTGGAGAATCATGGAAGTTGTACCAGATCTTAGATATAATTAATTGCGTTTTTCAGAGTCGTCTATTGCTATTGGAAATTAACTTTGGAGCACTTATACGCTTAGTGTTTTGCTTGTTTGGATGCTGTAATTGAGCATAATAAAGTTTTATTGGGAACTAGTGTAGGGTGTTCTAATGTTGCTAAACACACAAATGTTTGTCATTCTCCGCCCAATAAACAAAGATATTACACAGTTTCTCCAGTAATGCAGGAACATGTTAATACGGAATGGGATGAAATGAAATGCGTGACCTTGGTGTTAATGAAAAATTTAAAAGCTCTTGGAGTTCACCGATTCTATTGGTGCAAAAGAACGATGGTACTTTCCGCATTTACGTGGATTATCGCAAGTTAACCGCTGTAACTAAAAGAACTAGCTACCCGCTTCCTTATATTACCAATACTTTAGATAAACTTCGTATTGCCAATTTATTCATCTTGGAAAAAAATCTGCATATTGGCAGGTGAAGGGTGCTGAGCCTTCAAGGCCTTCAACAGCTTTTACTATCCCTGAACGTGAATTATTTCTTTTTTAAAAAATGCCCTTTGGTCTCT